CGCAGGGGGACAAGTGCTGCCTTTGTTGCTTAAACAAGAACTACGCACTATTTTTATGGTCTGTTTGCTTGTTATTTTCGGCGCCAAAATGCTACATGAGGCGGCGGTGTACGAAGAAAACTCCGACGAGCCGGGTGAGAACCTGAAGCTTTGGAGGCTAATTGTTTGTGTTGAATCTTGCAAGTTTTTCCTTCTATAACATGCAAAGCGCACTGAAAGAGCGGAAGGGAACCAATATCGTGTTTTGTGAGCCCCATACTGCGATATCTGGCTCTTTCAATAGCGGATTCAACGTGGGAGCCTCTATGCTTTTAAGATATTCGGTGTTTTTCGCTGCAGAGGAGCTGAAGGACTTGGCTCAAAGCGAAGAATCTATGAGCCAGTCTCGGCTGTTTGTCCTTGCCCGCAGTTTTTTCAGTCCGGTATTCATCCAGGTACCACCCTCTTCACTTTTGCAGCTGGTTTCCTTTGCCCGAGCCCTGTTTTTCTCAGCAGTAGTGCTTTTACTTGTCACTTTTGCACAGATTCAGCAGCAAGGTGTCTGATTTTTGCGCACTAGGCTGCGTCTTTGACCCTTATGGCGGAGTGGGGCGACCGTTCACAACTCGCAACTTTTGCGCTTGCGGCGGACAGGAGCGCGTCTGCTGTGTGCCTCGGTGCGACTCTGGAGGCATTTTTAATTGTATTTTCTGGCCTAAATATTTAAAAATATTCGCGCATGCACAATGAGGAAAGAGATAATAGGGGGAAGCTGCGCTGCTGTGAATTGGCTGCAGGCGCAATTCTTGGCCACGGGCTGTGCACCGCTTTGGCCGTCATCGGGGGAAATGTCTTGGCGAAAAGGATATCAGAGCGTGTGGTTTTGGTGCTCGGAGGTTCGCCTCATTTGCAGCACAAGACATTTTGCTGCAGCTTTGCATTTATAGCACTGATAAGTCCCTTTTGGGCCAGTAGCATGCACGCACACAGCAACCCCCTGGGCAGCAGCAGCAGACACCAGTGCTGCGCTGCTGCAGAGGCTTTCCTCTTCAAGCTTTTGCAAGGCAGCAGCACTTGCGTTTTCCTGTCTGCGCACAAGTGGTTGCCCCAAGTTCGACGCTAGGCATCTTTCGTGGCCACATTTGTGCAGATTTGGAGGATACTTTGTTTGCGTGTTGCTGATTTCTGCTGCTTTCCGGTGCTTTCAGGGATCTGCTTCCTGTCCTTTGCTGCCTTCACCGCCGTGGGAGAACTGTACTTCCATGGAGGCGCCGCTAGTTCTTGAATGAAAGCTTCCAAAGCACTTTGTTCATTGCCAGCTTGCCTACTAATCGCAACAGGACGGACTTGAACGGTCTTTCGGGGGAGTGCTGCATGGACTCAGGTGCCGCCTGCACACCAGGCGTTTTAAATGTATGGCATTAACGAATTGTGCTGGGACTGCTGTATAGAATTGGAAAATCTGCAGAAGGCCGGCGGGCGTTGTTGCTGCTCTTTGAGGCAGCTATCGCTTTTCTCCACTGCGCAGAGCTTCAGTTGTTTTTGGGCGAAGATTGGACTGTTGTTTATTTTGAGCCAAAGGGATTGAAGTTTCTACATTTCTAGAATGCCGTCAGATGTTTCCCTCAGTGATCCACATTTTGATAACTGCGCAGGTGCTTAGGTGTATGCTTAGCAGTAGAATCTGACAACCCGCGCTTTGTGCTTCTCTGTCGAATTTCAGAACCCGCGTAATATAGTTTACTCCTAGAATATATTTGTGTTGGCATTCTGCTGCTTCCGTGCCTCCCGGACACTCACTGACAGCAGCGAGCCTTTCCTGCTCCCTATTTGCTGTTGCTGAAACGCCGCAACATTCAAAAATGACTGCTGCCCACTCTTGGCTTCTAACCCTTTGCCTAGCAGCCATTCTCGCGACAGCCGATGGACACCGCAGCAGATGGCGGATGTGCCAAATTAGGCGGGGGAAAGAGCCGCGACTGTTGCATTCTTCGCCCGTTCAAGTGGAAATTCTGTAAGTTGAATTTTTCAGAATATGCCTGAGAGGAGTTATCAGCTGTGCGGCCAATATGGGCGATCAGCTACGAGGCTTTGTGCCCGTTTTGCAAAAGTGTAAGGCATTACCAAGCTCTTTTTTTTTCCTCTTGCGTCGACAAGTCGCACTGACACTGGGCTGCGGCCGCCAGTACTTGACAGGCCAAGTGGCGAGGGCCATGCGATCGGAACTGGGAAAGTTCGTGCACTTGCACCTCTACCCATACGGTAATTTGCGTTTTCTTCTATTTTAAGCATTTCAGCAAGTGGCGAACGCCTCAGGGAATGCAACTGAAAAGGATGGCATAGTGGAGTGCCAGCACGGCGTGGAAGAGTGCCGCTTGTGAGTATCGACTCCTGCAGCTTTACTGCAATTTCCACTTAGGGAATTTCGCGGGCATTCCGGAACTTTCGATTAAATTTAGGAACACCCTTTCTGCATGCGGGATCAAGAAGCTGCACGGGAAGCCAGAGAGCCGTCTGGCCTTCATCGAATGGTGGGAAGCAGGGGGGCAGGAGAGTTTCCTCCGAGTTCGCCCGAGATGAATCAAATTAGTCGAATTGGAAATTTCTTCTTCTTTTTTCGCGCTGATTCTCTGCACTTTTAGCGTTGAGCAGCTCGCCAGTACCGCAGACGGCCGGTGGCGAGACTGTTTGTCAGCCACTGGGAATCAGAAGGGGAATATAGCAGGTCAGTTTTCGAAAAATCAATTTCTCCCCTTCTGTTTTGAAACACTATTTTTAATTCTCAACTCGCCGCCCAGCTTGCTTTCAGGGAGACGAAGGGGCGGCCCTGCTGTAGGCCACAAAAGCTGCACTGGCACTTGGGCTGTACTGAGTTGCTGGGAAACTGCCTTTGGGCCTTGCAGGAAATCTATTGGAAAGTTCTCGAGGAGGCAGTCTTACAACTATGTTCCCTGGGTGATTGTGAATGGCAAACACAAGACGAGCTCTGAGGCGAATTTCACATTCGCTGTTTGCGAAGAGTGCGCTGAGTGCCTGCAGTGCAGATCTGCCGCAATCCTAACTTGCTGCACACAATAATAACTCTTAATGCAGGCTGGGGGATCGAAGGCCCCACATATGTTCCACACTTTCTGCTGTCGGCGTCGGCAGCTTCCTTGAAGAGACGCAGCGCTGCTTCAAAGAGGCATCTTTGCCGCGCTGAGAGGCCAAATGGCCCTCAGGGCCCCTCGGCTTTCGCTGTGCACTGGCAGCAGCCCAAAACATAAACTCATGCACTGACTGCGCACTTCTTAACTATGAGCTATGGAGGGTAGCCACCACTCGCCGCGCCGCGCAGCTTCGCATAGAAACGATGAATGTGATCCTCAGACTTGAAAAAGAAGTCTTTAGAAATGCAATAAACCGTTTGAAATTCGAAATATGAGGTTAATGTTGTCAACGGAGAAGCGTTGCCTCCGCCTGGCCCTTGTATTGACTGACGTGTCGCCATTGTTGAGGTGCTCCTCTGCGCAATTCTGCGGAATACTGAGCCCCTTTAGTTAATTTTTCTCGTGAAGTCACATGCGAATTGAATTTTAATTTTATTTATTCTCAGTGTTACTTCGTTGTGACGAGGTAAGAAGGCTTCAACACTCTCGTGGGAGGTGGTGAGGTGTTGTTCTAGAGCCACCACTTGGGGCCCCTTGCTGCACGAGTGGTCTTCTTTGTCTTCCCTCACTATTTCGGAGCGAACTAATTCAAAATTGAGTACTTGCAAATTTGCGCAGTGAGATCTCGCAGGGGTTGCTGGCGAATCCTAGATGGTTCACCAGAATGTTTGCAGACGCCGTTGAGAACCCAATGACGCACGTGTCTGGCAACTCTGCGTTAGATCCGGCCTCTTCTTTTGCACAAAAAAGTGAAGAAAACAGTTTAGATGATGCACAGGATTCGGGGGAACTTCTTGCTGCAGCGTTGGAAGGTGTGAAGGGAGTGCATCTTTTGCCGTGCCACATCAAGTACAGCGGCTTGGCCTCCGTTTCTGAGAACTTCCAGCCCAGACGCGTGAAGCCTGCAGCAGCAGCAGCTTCTGCTGCAGCAGATGCTGCTGCTGCAGCAGATGGGCAGCTCGAAGTGCTGCTGCACGGCCGCTGGCTGCGGGGCAAGGAAGAGCCGCTGGCCAAGAGCAGCTGCTCAGCAGCAGAGGCCCCGCAGCTGCAGGGCTTTCTTGTGGCTGCCCAGGAAGCCAGCTGCAGCCAGCAGGACGTCCGGAGGTCTTTGCTGCTGAGTGCTGCTGCTGCTGCTGCTTCAGCTGAAGAGGATTCTCTTGTTGAAGCAGAAGAGCCCCCCATGAGGGTCACTTCGCTGCGCCCCTTAGCAGCATTTGACAAAATCACGTGAGCCAATTCCCCTTCACTTTTGTTCCTTTCTTTCCCTGCAGTCTTCTTGAAGCTGGCTTGGAACGGCGAAAACACTCTGCTGCTGCTGCTGCTGCTGCTGCTGCTGTTGACTGCGCAGCTACTGGCAACAAGACCGCGAGCCCAGCAGCTCGGACGACGTCCCGAAGAGTCTTTTCTTTTTGCGAGCGACTGCAGCAGTATGTTTGATCTCTTTTTCTCAAATAAATAAACAAAATTGTTTTTTTTGTTTTCCTTAAAAAGCAGCAAAAGTAAACTCTTTCTAACTTTAAATGCATTAGGCGCAGCTCTGTGGCCTGCGCTGTCTGCGCAGCTGCACGACTTCAAAGACGAACTGGGTGACTGAGCGGGGGCCCTTCGTGGGGCCCCCTTGCTGCTGCTGCAGCAGCAAAACGTGCATGCAGTTTTGCTGCAGCAGCAGAAGCCCCCAGTGAAGGAGCAGCTTTGCCCAGGCTTGCGCAGCTGCTGCAGAATCGATCAGCTGCAGTGCATGGCCGACGGCCTCAAGACCTTCTCCGCAGCAAAGGGCAGCAGCAGAAGCAGCAGTAGCTGCTGTTGCAGCGGCTGCTGCTGCAGTGGCCGCTGCTGCAGTGGCTGCTGCTGCAGTGGCTGCTGCTGGAGTAGCTACTGCTGCATTGTCTGCTGCTGCAGTGTCTGCTGCTGTAGGAGCTGCTGCTGGTCCCGGAGCCTCCCCGCTGGCTCAGCAGGGGTCCTCAGCAGCTGCTGAAGAAGCCCCAGGCTGCGCGTTCTCTGCTGCAGCGCTGAGGGCAGCAGCAGCAGGAAGCTGCGGCGCAGCAGCAAAGTGCGGAGCAGCAGCAAAGCGCGCAGCAGCAGGCGGGGGGGAAGGGGGGTGGAGAGCGTGCTCGTTCTTAAGAGCAACATCTCGGTGTTCTCCAAGATCCCTAAACTTGGAAATTGAATTTTTTGGAATTTTGAAAGAGAGAAAAGACTCACCAGTCGTTGAAGTCGTCGTTTTCCGTGTGGGCCTCGCGGGCAGCCTCCACTTCCCTCTGGACCTCCTGAGAAAAAGAATTGGATTTCTTTTTCCAATTCAAAAAGTTCCCGAGAGCTTTGCTGCCCACCGAAGACACTGGCCGGATCTTCATAGGGTCTTCTGCTGGCGAGTCGCCAGCGGCGTTTCCCACAAGTTCAAACACCTGGGCAAACCGCAGCAGGTGGCTCTGCGCGTTGTTCAGCTCTTGCTGCAGCTCCGCAGCCAGGCTCCCGAAAGAGGGCAAAGAAGGGGCTCTCTGCTGCGTCTCTGAGGACTCCCAGTTGCCGGAAAAGGCCAAAGGCCCCTGCAGGCCTTCTGCAGAGCCTGGGCGAGAGAGGGCAGCAGCATGGCGCCGCATTCGCCGCCGCCGCTTGCTGCCCCAGGCGGGCAGGAGCAGCGCAGCAAACAGCAGGAAACAAAGCATGGCAGCTTTTCTGCTCTTTTTTAATCATTTCGGTTCCCTCCGACTTGCATGCCGAAGGTGTGCTGCACTGAATTTGCCCTGAGGCGCTCCGCTCGCGGCAACGTCGCAGGTGTACAGACACACGAACTATCCTTGCAAATCCTTCAATGCCAGCTGCCTCTTCCGCGAAATTGATACTGTGACTCCTATGAGAACAACTACTGGGGACTTTAAAACGATATTTGTTGCACAATGTGCGTATAGGAAGGTCGACGCACACTCGACGCTTCTAAGCAAAATGAGAAGTGATCGCTTTGCGCGAAAGTGTACCCAGGAAGGCAATTTAGGGTAAAAGGAAGCGCCTCGACGGGATTCCCAGCTGTGCCTTAGAATGATTGTTCTCGAAGTTGAAATAGATTCTCCTAAAGTGGGAAGCGTGCACGAAAAATGCGTCTTGTCTTGCCAGGCGAGAGCCCGTGCACGCGGCAGCGACAGCGCACTCATACATTTAAAATAGCGTCTGGCGTAAAGCTGTTTGTTGCCACTCAGCAGCAACTTGTTGCACACGCCTCACAGCAGCCTGGCTGCCTCGGGGGCAAAAACTCCCGGCCGGCAATTCAATAGTTAACTGGCCGAGAGCTCCCGCCCCCACGGCTTTCCGGCAGTCTCCAGCTGCGCAGGGAGCTCGCCTTGTAGGGGCGTTTGCTGAGCCTCGAGAGGCACAGGAGCCAGCAAAAAAGCTGTCTCAGACTCCGGCAAAAGCGCCGCCTTCAGCAGCAGAGGCTGCCGCCCCTGCGGCCTCTTCTTCCAGGCAGAAGAGGCCCCTTTTAGTGAAAGTCTCGCGAAGTTCTGGGCCCCTAGAGGCGGGCCCCTCCCTGAGGGGCCCCCTAGGGGCCCCCTGGGGGCCCCTGGGGACCAGTTAATTAGCTGAGGGAGGTGGCTTACTGGCGTAGAGGCCCCTGTCGTCTACGGAGTTGTTGTCGCCCTTCGTGAGGAGTCGAGTTTCTCCAGCGGCGTTTTTGTGGAGATTAAGCACGCGGTGAACAATTGGGATTTCGCGGCCCTCCACCTGTGCAGCAGCAAGTTGAACATTCAGCAGCAGCAAAGTTGCATTCAGCAGCAGCAAAGTTGCACTCAGCAGCAGCAAAGTTGAACATTCAGCAGCAGCAAAGTTGAGAATCCAGCAGCAGCAAAGTTGAACATTCAGCAGCAGCAAAGTTGGATTCAGCAGCAGCAAGTTGAACATTCAGCAGCAGCAAAGTTGGATTCAGCAGCAGCAAAGTAGAACATTCAGCAGCAGCATAGATGGACTCAGCAGCAGCAAAGTTTAACATGCAGCAGCAGCAATGTTGAAATTCAGCAGTAGCAAAGTTGAACATTCAGCAGCAGCAAAGTTGAACATTCAGCAGCAGCGAAGTTGAAATTCAGCAGCAGAAAAGTTGGCAGCAAAGCTGAACATTCAGCAGTAGCAAAGTTGCATTGGGCATCAGCAAAGTTGGACACTCAGTAGCAGCAAAGTTGAACATTCAGCAGCAGCAAAGTCGAGCATTCAGCAGCAGCAAATTTGCAAATACACAGACCAGCAACAGAGCTGCAACAAAGCGCTGCAGCTCCAGCACGAGACGCAGCTGCAGCAGCAGCCGCAGCTGCAGCAAGGCGCTGCAGCTGCAGCATGTGCTGCAGCTCTTTGGGGATTTCGACTTGCCTTGAAGACCACAATGTCTCCCACGTTGGTGGTTGGTCCCTTGTCGTGGAGAAAGAGAATGTCTCCTCGACTGAAGGCGGGAAGCATTGAGCCACTCAGCACCACCACAACGGGCGAGGGGCTCCCAGCGGCGATCACTAAGACTTTCCAAAGCATAAGTGCTGCGAAGGTCGCAGCAGAGGCAGGCAGCAGCAAGTTTGCGGGATAAGAAAGCAGACAGTGAGCAGCTAGCAGAAATCGGGGTGGTGGGCGTTCTTGCGCCTTTTCTGCACTCCTTTTTGCATTTAAAACTCAAAACTTGACCAATTAGATGCATGTAGAACAATCACCTGCGAGAATTACGCAGCAGAGGCTGAGCACCGTCAGCAGGACCTCCCGCGGGCGACGGCACAAGTGCCGGATCTCGTCCCACAGGGAAATCCCGAACTTCTTGAGTTCTGTGAACATTTTAGAATGAGTTAAAGAAGACAAACAGCCCCAAAAGGCGGCTACAAGCCGAACTCTGCGAAGTTTCTTAGCTTTCCTGCTCCTGCTTGCACCCTGTAGGAGGAGCCCGGCGAGCCCTGAGAAGACTCAGCAACACCCCACCCAGATCTGCTGCGATTCTCAGAGCCACAACATAAGAGTTATCGGCTGGATAGTGCCCAGTTTCCGGACGGAAACGTTGCGTTCAGACTTTCATTCCGAGACTGGAAGACTCGGCGGCGTCAAGCGCGGCACTCCGCGTAAGGTCTGCCTCCTCTTGGCGACTAAGTGAGATTTAACAGAGCCACTTAGTCCGAAGTCGTGATGCAACAACGGCAGACCCATGCAGCAGCACATGCGGTCTGCAGCCGACGCTGTCCGGCGCATGCAGACGGCTGCAGGTGGTACGCCGGAACTGCTCGTGGGCTTTTTTATTCTCCCAACTACTCGCGATATTCTCGCTAAAACACCATTAAAAAATAAAGAGAATATACTCCTTACCTAGGCGAACGTTCCAGGCCACCCGGAAGAAATTCCAACGCTCAGACACAAAGGGGGCTGCCAGACATGGTGTATGATTGAGTTCCAACGCAACAAGTGAAAATGATGTCTAAATGTGACCCATGTCGTTCTCCAATAATGAAAAATTGATTATTCTATATCTACATTAGTGTATTGGGGGCTGGAAGAAGCAAGAAAAACGCGAGGCACCCATCTTGGATACTGAGTGGAGTTCAAGGTGGGGGCACTGTTTACTATTCACATCAAAAGTACCAACTACATGAAAAGAGCTATTCATAACCAGCAAGCATCTAAAAGTTCCCGCTTTTGAGCTTTTAGTCGGAGTGCATCTGTATGTGCACTCCGCGGCCCCAACAAGTGTCACTTTTTCTAAACGTGGGTAAGACTTTATGATTAGAAAACCAATGCTGGTCTTTTTTCTGGCTCCACACTGCAGCTTGTGATGACATTTACCCGGCAAGCTCACAATGGAATGCAGCTTTGACAGTTTGGGGAATTTCTTGCTAAGCCGTTCTGCAACTACTCGCCGCCGTAGTTTCAACCTGATAGTCAGCTCATTCTGTGGTTTAACAGCGGCCTCACAATGCGAGAGGAAGACTAGGGTAGCTAGTGCGGGGAGCCAGCAGCAACTGAACAAAAACCAACTGAATTACATCTGATTCGTGGCACAAAAGTGAGTAAGGCAGAGGCGGTTGTTGACCCAATATAAAGTGCGCGCGTGGAAGAGTTTACCAGGCAAGGGACAACGTTTGCACGCTGCACTTGGTAATGTTAAATTAAGAATTAAACGGGTAACGTTAAATTAGGAATTAAACTTATTAAACGCGCGAACTAATTCATTTACTTTGAACGCATCCCCGACAAACACACCCAACGGCGGCTCTCAGTAGTACGTTCATTAGCCACTTTCCCACATAGCTCTTCTGGGGTGCTGGCACCCTTTGCTTACAATTTCTAGCTGTCATAACTGCCATAACTGTGGAGGCGCCCTTATTAGAGATAAATCTTTTCTGATCTATTCACGGATAACTGAGTTTTGGCCACGGCAAATGCTGTATTGGCTTCTGAGCGCTGCTCACAGCTCTCTCCGACAGCCAGCTCTCAATCTTAGCGTACTGTTAGGCAGAAGATTCTTTTGCAGCAATGTGAAAAGTGAAAGGTCTCCAGGATTAAAGATGAATTGCCCAAAGAACAACCGTTAGCCACCAGAAGGCTTGATACGTTCAAAATAAGACACACCCAACGAGTCTTCTTGCTTCTCAAAACGACATATTTTTCCGTTTATTCACTTTCACAGTACTGAGAAGTGAGAAGGGCTGCGGTATTGTACATTCAGAGGCACGCTCATACAGCTCACGCGTGTTTAGAGCTGCAGCGTCAAACAGCCAGTGCCCTACTTTGGCGGTTCCTGCCTTTTGTGTCCCTTATTTCAGCATTACTATTCACTAAACAATGTCACTGAAACAAAAATGACACTTTTTCAATGCACTTATTGAAAACAGCTCGGGTGACCCCTCACTGGCCCGTTCTCACAAGCATTCAGCAAAGACAATAGCACCTTGCACATTAGGCCATTGCAGGCTTGACTGCAGTATTCCACAGGCCTAAAGGTCAATAGCGCAGTACCGTAATTACAGTTAAAGTACAATCAAATGGCGGTTGCGTACAACCAGGCACTTCAGCCAAAGGCTTGCTGAGCGTGCCGAATTCGAGCCTGCAAGGCTCTTCGCCGTGTACACTTTAATCTTAATACAAGAAATTTAAGATTCACAATAAACAGACGAAATTCAATGTGCAAATCTGGCCAGAGCTTGCAAAAGTTACATAGAAAGAACAGAGAGGACTAAACTGCAACACGACAGGGATGCACGCTTCACTGAAGCCTTTCCCTCTTCTGCCAGCCTTCATTTCTGCTTGAAATGCAGCACAAATCGAATCTACGCTATCACTCAAGATATCGGAGTTTTCAAGGGGGCGAGAAGTCTGTGAAGACACCGGGGCGTGCATGAGCAGTCACAGGCACGGTCACGCGAGATGCAGCAGCAAACACCTCCTGTCTCCAGCAATATTCAGCTCGCCATTCTCCTTGCAACATTACCATGAAACGAATTTAAAAATATCAAATGAGCATACATAAACTGCCAAAAGCTGAAGTTTCCTCTGGGGCTGCTGCTGCTGGCAGCGCCTGTGTCCCACGTCACTGCATGCATCAGGTCCCCACACCTCTAAGAAACCGCAGAAGCTGCATGTCTAAATAAAGGGATAACTTCAGGAAATTTATGCAAGTTGAAGAGCAGCAGCAGGGCAGCGGTGGCCTCACGGCAAGACTGGAAGGCGCTGCACCGACAGCAGAATCGGCAGCAGCAGCAGATCACGATCAGCATGCCTATGTGAAAGGGCCCCTCCTACTGGCTATCGTTGCAACGTGCTTTTCGGTAACAGCCGCAGCGTTTAGGCAGCAACAGCAGCAGCAAAAATCACGGCTACTGCTTGTTCCACGCCTTGCCTGCGTGGGCAAAACTGCAGTGCCTCCTCTTTCTTGAATAGAGCAGCAGCCCCCAGAAGGAGCACCGACACTGACCGGCCCTGCAGAGCTTCAGTTTGGCAGCTGGAGCCCTTCAGTCAGTAGAAGACCTTCATCTCTCTCTCCGTTAGACTTGTCCACTTCGCGTCTGCAGATGTTTCCGTATTAGCAGCACTGGCATGCCCGGCCCGCATCCTAGCGTTCTGCTTGTCGCGAGGGAGCAGCGGCAGTAGAAGAGCAGCAGCAAGGCAGCAGCAAGGCAGCAGCAGGACGTTTAAGTGGCTCAGGCTTGCAGCGGCGGCAGTTGGGTTGCTGGGGCTTCGGCTGTTGCTGTTGCCCAGGTGTACAGACACTCCGATGCGGTGCAGGTGCTAGAAAGCGAACCGCTGCAGTTGGTCTCGAGGGATTGAGCGCCAGCGTCCTGATGAAGGCCACCAACTACAGCAAGCGAACTGAAGAACAGCAGCAGCAGCAGCAAAATAAAACCACAACCCAGCAAAATGCAGGTGGAGGACTTTGACAGGGCTGTTAGCGCCCTCTTCTCCCAGGGCAGTGCAGCTGTCAACCCGGCGACTCGGTGCGAGGCGGAGCAGTACCTGCGCGGTAATTCTTTTTGAATTCTTTAGACTACTTTTGACTGTGCTGCCTCTGCTTTGCTGCCTCTCTGCTTGTTTGCCCGCTTTCTCCCTTTCTCCCTGAGGCTGCAGCAAATGAGTCTTTTGCTTTGAGTAGAGCTGACTAGCAGCGCGGGATCTTGATTTGCAGCTCCTGCCCGTGGGCTTGTGAGGGGTGGGAAGTATTGCTGTTGCTGCTGCAGGAGCAGCAGGACTGCATGCAGCAACAGCAGCAGCAGCAGCAGCAGCTCCTGTTGCCATAATTGCCTCAGATGTGCGCTGCATGGCAAGCTGTTTTCGGTCCGGGGTGCTTTGTGCTGCAGCGGTATGCGACAGCAGCAGCGGCACCACGCTGCTGCTGTCCGCGTTGCAGTCCCGCTGTTCTTTTGAGGCGAAGTTCTTCGCCCTGCAGCAGCTTCTGCAGCTGCTGCCACAGCAGCAACACCAGAGGCAGCAGATGGCTGAAGTGCTGCTCAATGTGATGCGACTGAGAGTCTGCAGCGCATCTGCCTGGGCCTGCAGCAGCAGCAGCAGCAGCAGCGGCCCAGAGACAGACAGCACCGCCGCACAACTTGCTGCTGCTGCCTCCGACCCAGCTTCCAGCCCGGATGCTGCTGCAGTGCACAATAAGCTGGCCCTTCTAGTAGCTCGGTTACTGGCAGCTCAGATAAACGACATAGCTGAAGCAGCAACAGCAGCAGAACAGGCACCAGCAGCAGCGGGTGCTGCTGCTGCTGCTGCTGGAACGAAGGCTGCGTTTCTCCCCCTGCGGCAGCTGCTGCACCAAGAACTGACCGCCCTTTGTCTGCACTTGCGCAAATTAGAAGATCCATCAGTGACAGCAGTAGCTGGCCAGTGCTGCGCATGCAGAAGCCCGGCCTGTGCTGCAGCGGCGGGCCAAAATCTTGCTGCTACGCTGGAGTCGCTGCGGGTGGCGCTGCGGGTGCTGCTGGTGGTCCACCAGGAGTATCTTGAAGACCTGCCAGCCTCTCCTGTAGGCTAAGCAGGCTAGTTTTGGGGGGTTTAGCGGAGTCCGGGATTTGCTGCTGCTGTTTGGTTTTGGTGCTGCTGTGGCCGCTAGCCTGCAGTGGCTCCGCCGTGTCGGCAGAAGTGCTTGCTGCGCTGCTCGCCTGTGTTGTCTGCTGCAGCTTTCTGCGGCACTTAAGAGCTCATTTCCTTACGATGAGGAAGTCCCCACAAATGCGGCTGCTGTGCTCTGCCCTCCACCGTTCTCGCCTTTGCTGCTGCAGCTGCTGCAGCTGCTGCAGCTCACATATAAGGAAAGCCCAGCACTAGCCAGTTTGCTGCAGCTGTGCTGCTCA